GTGTGTGTGTGTGTGTGTGTGTTATGTGACACTATTCCTGAAGAGATGTGAAATAGCATTTACTCACCCCAGATAGGGAACCAGTGACAGACCAAAGTAGGGATGGCACCAAACTCCAACTTGATGAGCCAGTGAGTTGGGGTTATTTACAGGAGTATGGGTGAGGAATTACAGGAGCAGAACTGACTCAACAGCAGCATCACCACTCTAGAATGGTTGACAATGCACAAAGCCAGAAACCTGGAGCTCACTTGAACAGGTAGCTAGACAGGTCAGAGTGTGTCTCAGGCAGCTCAGCTTGTCTGAATGTCTCAGCAGTCCTGCTTTGGTCAGCTTGGAGTGGGCGGGGCTTATTGTATCTGGTCAGTTTCAAGTGCTTCCTGAAGAGTTTGAATTGTTTACTTCCTGGGCTTATCTACCTTCACTGACACTTGACTGTTTCACCCCCTTTTAGAACATCCTGTGTTTTAGGAGCTTCCTTACAAAGTAGAAGTTTCTCTCAGAGGAAATTGTCACTCAACACTGCATCATGCAGGTGCACATGCTGATGTGCATGGAAGTCAGATTATATAGCACTCACTTTCACCAATTTAGCAGGTATAATAAGCACATCATTAAACTTGGCATTTGGTTTTGGGTTTATTTTTCATTTGTGTGCGCCACTCTGCGTGTGTGTGTGTGTGTGTGTGTGTGTGTGTGTGTGTGTGTGTGTTATGTGACACTATTCCTGAAGAGATGTGAAATAACATTTACTCACCCCAGATAGGGAACCAGTGACAGACCAAAGTAGGGATGGCACCAAACTCCAACTTGATGAGCCAGTGAGTTGGGGTTATTTACAGGAGTATGGGTGAGGAATTACAGGAGCAGAACTGACTCAACAGCAGCATCACCACTCTAGAATGGTTGACAATGCACAAAGCCAGAAACCTGGAGCTCACTTGAACAGGTAGCTAGACAGGTCAGAGTGTGTCTCAGGCAGCTCAGCTTGTCTGAATGTCTCAGCAGTCCTGCTTTGGTCAGCTTGGAGTGGGCGGGGCTTATTGTATCTGGTCAGTTTCAAGTGCTTCCTGAAGAGTTTGAATTGTTTACTTCCTGGGCTTATCTACCTTCACTGACACTTGACTGTTTCACCCCCTTTTAGAACATCCTGTGTTTTAGGAGCTTCCTTACAAAGTAGAAGTTTCTCTCAGAGGAAATTGTCACTCAACACTGCATCATGCAGGTGCACATGCTGATGTGCATGGAAGTCAGAGGAACATGTCGGGTGTCTGGCTCCACTGCTTTCTTCCTGATTCCCTTGAAACAGTCTCACTAAATCTAGAGCCAGGCTGGTGGCCAGCGAGTCCTAATTACCCCCCTGTTTCTGCTCTAGTCCTCCAATGCTTGATTTTTTTATGTGGAATCTGGAGATTTGAATTTAGGTCCTCTCGTTTGCTCAGGAATTCTCTCACCTAGTGAGTCATCACCTCAGCACTGAACTGTTATATTTCAGTGAATTTTAGTTAAAAAATCTTCACTTTAAGTATAAAAAAATTTAAAGTATTTTTATGTGTATGACAGTTTTGCCTACATATATGTAAAGTGTGCTTGTGTGTGCAGTGACCCTCAGAAAAGAGGAGTTACTATGCATTTTGATGAACATTGGTTTTCTGCAGTGAATACTTTTGTGTACATGCACACACACGTATCTGAGTTGATCTCTACCTTTGGAATTAATAGCAAACAAATTATAAAATTTTATTTGATTATGTGTTTGAGTGTACTGCCTGCAAGTATGTAAGTGTACCTGTGTCGAGCAATGCCCTCAGAAGTCAGAAGAGAGCATCAGACTCCCGGAACTGCAGTTATGCATGGTTGTTAGTCTCCATATGGGTGCTGGGAATCAAATCTGGGTCCTCTGCAAGAGCAACCAGTTCTCTTAACTGCTAATCCATTTCTCCGGCCGCAGAGTTCCTCTTAAACTAATTTATCAGTTTCCTCATCACATACCTTAAATTTCAGAAATCTCTTTAAGATTTTGCTTTTTAGTACAGTAGTAGTTAAATTATTTGTATCCCAAAATGTAATTATTTCTTTTGTACTCTGTTGTCAAAGTATTTCAAATATTTGAATTATTTTTCAAAGATGTTCATAAAATATTCAGAAAATACTGTAAATAAGATTTAGAGGTGACTGCTCAAGCTGTTTTGTATTAGAAATATTTGTCTATCAACTTTTCCCAAAAGTGAATTTCAAAGATAAATGCCTTCAAATTAAGTTAACACAAACTAAAAATTTGTATGAAGATGGGCAAATAACATTGAATATTTTCCTGGTTAGCCCTAATTGTCAACTTGATACAGCCTGTAGCCATCTGAGAGGACACCCTCAGTTAATGAATTACCTCAATCACGAGGGCCTTGATTATTAGCTGATGTAGGAGGGCCCAGCCCACTATGGGTGGCCCCATTCCGCAAGCAAGTATTCCTGGGCTGTATTATTTTTTAAAAGTAGCTAAGCATGAGCCATCAAGCAGTGGTCCCTGCCTCAATGTTCCTGTCTTGAGTTCTTGCCCTGACTCCCCCCAAAGATTGATGGTGACTTGGAAGTGTAAACCAAATAAACACTTTCCTCCCCAAGTTGCTTTTGGTCTGAGTGTTTTATCACAACAGAATGAAACCAGAACAGGTTCCTAGAGTATGGATTGAAGTTAGTACAAAAAATACCTAGGAAGTGATTGTGATCTGTATTCCCACACTCCTGCAACTCTTGTGTCTACAGATGCTCAGTTCTCTTTTTTTAAAATTTCAACTTAATATGATGATCTCTAGTTTCATCTATTCTCCTGAAAATGACATAGTTTTGTTCTTCTTAATTATTGAATAATAAGTACTCTATTGTGCATATATAGACCACATTTTCTTTATTCATTCAGCTGATTCTATAACTTGAGGTGCTCTGTTCTTATCCACTCATCTGTTGAGGCATTATTTGTGTGGAAACTATAAGAAATTTATATTTCTAATTTCAGTGACGTTTTGTGGGTTTGCAATTACATATTGTATTTGTCAGGGTTCTCTAAAGAAACAGAACTGGTAGAATAAATATATAAATATGTATGGAGGGATTTGTCAGTTTAGCTTATAGGATAGAGTCCTAGTAGTTCAACAGTGCTGATACTCTAGTAGATGCTCAGTCCACGAGGCTGGATATCTCAGTAGGCCCAATCTATTGCTGACGGTCTGATGAATTCCAAGTAGACTTCAGTCTACAGCAGCAAGACAAACTCACCAGTGAGAGAGAAGGCAAGGCAAAAAGGCAAGCACTTCCTTCTGCCATGGCCTTTTATATGGGCTGCCATCAGGTTACACCCACATTTAGGGTGTGTCTCCCAGCTTCAGATGAGCCAATCAAGGTCTCTCTTATTTCAGTTAATCCTAACTCTAGTCAAGTTGACACCCAGGATTAGCCAACACACATATGTTTCAGGACTCAAGCTGTTTTTTTTTTTTTTTTTTTTTTTTTAATTTAGGAAAGATAATATAAATGGTGTTTTGACATATGTCTATACTCCTGGCTACTTGCAAGGCTACAGTAAAAGAATGCTTCAGTCCTAGAGTTCTGAGCCAGTTCAGATAGTATAGCAATACTCAGGAGCATCTTTAAAACAAGGTGTGGAGGGGGTAGTAGGATAGCTGGAGAGATGGCTCATTGTTTAAGAGCACCTGCTGCTCTTGCAGAGGTCCCAAATTCGGTTCCCAGCACCCACATTGTGGCTAATGACCATCTGTAACTACAGTTCCAAGGGATCCAGTGCCCTCTTCTGGCCTATGTAGGCACTGTACCCGTGTGGTACACTTAGATAAATGTAGGCAAAACACTCATATACATAAAATAAAAATAATTAAATAAAAAATTTTAAAAAGGAACCTGTCTCGGTGGACATGCCTTTAATCCCAGCACTCTATAGGCAGATGCAGGCAGCTGTCTGTGAGATTGAAATCAGTCTAGTCTCCACAAGGAGATCCTGTCTCATAAAACCAAAAAAACAAAACAAATATAAACAAAAATATATATGCATATATGGTGGGGGTGTTCGATAAGGTTTCTCAGTGTGTCAAAGGCACTTTCACCAAGCCTAACAACTTGAGTTCGGCCCCCAAACCCTGTATAGTGGAAGTAGAGAACCATCTTCCACAAGTTGTCCTCTTCCATTTGCACACTCATACACACACACACACACACACACACACACACACACACACTAAACAAATGTAATTTTTATAAAGTGATATTTCTAGGAAAGTTTAAAGTAATAATTCCAGGAAAGTTTAGGGAAAAACTTCATAATTATATTAATATTTTTGTAATAAAACATATTCAAAGTCACATAAAATGGAATACACAAAGTAGAAATCTCATCTCAGTTTGTGAATTTGCTGATGAAGGAATTAAGAAAAAAACTGGCTTTCAGAGCTTGTGATTTTTTTTAAACTTTTTAAAAATTTTTATTTATTATTTTTATTTTATGTGTATGCATGCATTGCCTGCATGTAGGTAAGTGCACCCATGTCGTGCAATGCCCACAGAGGTCAGAAGACATATGTAGCAGAGGACTCATGGTGATGTAATAATCACAAAAATTTTAGCATGCTAAAAAATACTTTGGGGTCTAGAAATAGAGCTTAGTTGGTAGAATAATTGCCTGGCATTCACAAAGACCTGAGTTCAGTCTTCAGCATTCCCCCAAACTTGTGGCATATACCTGTAAGCATAGCACTTAAGACATGGAGGCAGGAAGATCACAAGTTCACAGTCATCCTTCGATACACAGAAAGAAAGTTTGTGATCAGATTATGGTACATAAGACCATGTCTGAAGAAAGAGGGAGAGCAGGAGAATCAAAAGAAAACAATATACTTTGGGAGATAAGTTACATATATAGATTTCAAATGATATGCAATTATTTTTCTTGGTACCTAAAGATTCTATTTTATGTTTCATTTCTTTTCTTCTAGGTCACTTTTATTCAAAACCTTGTATTTTGTGTAGAAAGAGTTTACCGTGTTCCTGACTTTGGTGTTTGGGAAAGAGGGAGCAAATATAATAATGGCAGCACAGAACTACATTCAAGGTAATTTACACAATTCTGAGGGTGGTTTTGGTGTTGTTTGAATCTGTGAATTTAAATATTGTGCTGATTAGTCTTTGTCAACTTGAGACAAACTAGCATTTCCTGTGAAGAGGAAACTTCAGTTGATGAATTGTCTCCATCAGAGTGGTCTGTAGGTATGTCTTTGGGGCAATATCTTGATTGCTGATTGATGTAAGCAGGCCCGGCTCATGGTGGTCAGTGCCATGTCTAGACAGGTGACCCTCGGCTGTATAAGAAATGTAGCTGAGTAACCCAGGAGAAGAAGACAGTAAACAGTGTTCCTCTAAAGTTTCTGCTTCAGTTCTTGGCTCCAGGTTCCTGCCTTGAGTTCCTTCCCTGGCTTTCCTTAGTGTCGGATTATGACCTGGAAATTATAAGCAAAGTAATCTCTTTCCTTCACAAATTGCTTTTAATCATGGTGTCTATCACAGCAACATCAAAGAGTGATAAAAATAGCTACCAAGAATGTGGGGGTTTTGCTGTGATGGACCTATGCTGTTTTGGGGATGATTGTGGAAGGTTTTTGAGCTTTGATTAGAAAAGCCATTGAGTGCCCAGAGCTTGATGGGCTATTGTGGGAGCATGAGAGACATATGTAGCAGAGGATTCATAGTGATATAGTTGGAAGCAATGCAGATGATGAAGACTTGGCTTGTGAAGTTTTAGAGGGAAGCAAAGTCGAGATCAGGGATGTTTGTGTGATCTATTGAATTAAGAATTTGTGGAAATGAAAGCTTATCAGAAAAATCTTTTGACAGCTGATCACTGCTGTGTGAGGGAGAGTTACTATATAGGCTGACCAGGCTCCAGTGGATGAACTCAAACCAGTGGACATCTGGGGACATAAACTTGACTCAGTAGGCCTTAACATATATGACAGAATACATAAAATCATGTGTGAGGTGTTATGGGGGAGTGCAGATTGGGGGAGGGGGTTCTAAATATGATTGAGATGTGTTGTATACAAAAATTAAATAAAAATATATATTGGGAGAACAAAAGAATTTGTGGAAATGAAACATTCTATGCTTTACTGGGACAATGGAATCTGGCTAGGTGGTGCTGAAAAATTACTGTGATTAATAAAACACCAGATTCAAGAGGCAGAACTCAGAAGTATTTCCTCAGGCTCAGCACACAGAAGGTCCAGAGAGGGCCAGTGCTGCATCTCAAGCTGGAAGCTGAACATGGTGATATGTAACAGCCTCCTATATGGTACTGGTTTTGAAGGCATGAAGGGGTCGTGGAAAGCAGCTGAGACGTGACATTGTGAGGGTAATTTGTGAATGTGCAGCCTCCATTTCAATGGACACTCCACAGTTGAATAAATCATGGAGAAAAGTTGAGGTTTGGTGCCATGAGAGGCTAGGAAAGACCATTGATAAAGGTTCAGTTTTAGTAGCAGTGGAGACCCGAGGATATTGCATATGCCAAGACCATAAGGTGACCCACAAAAAAACAGCAATAGGTATGAAGTAGAATTGTCCTGCATGTACTAGACAAGCTGTATGTGCTGCAGATAGCAGGGTTGGAGAGGCGAGGCTAACCAAGCTCTTTGGATCCCAGAAGATCATATGTGAGTCTGAAATATCTGACATTGAGCTTTTTTTATACTCTTGGCTTTTGGTCTAACTTCAGTCTGCCAGTAACTATGTGCTGATTCTTCCCTCTTGGGAAACTTGGCTTTTTTGTCTTAAATTTTACATGAGTTCACAATTAAGACAATTTGAACTTTTAAATGGTGAAACTTGCCCCTTGCACCTGCCAGTCCTATGAGTTCCCCAACCCCAGTATTCTCTTGTCTGTCTAGCTCCTAAGCATGGCTTGAGTTGCGCACCTCCATGTACCAACCAGACCTGTTAGTTTGCTGTGCCTAGCATTCCCTGTCCACTGTCCCACTTCCCTGGGCCTAGCTTGGGTTGTGCTGCCTTTGTATTAATCCACCTTGGTCAGTTCTACAGAATCTTGCCTGCCCTTGCTGCTGTCCCCACACTCCCAGGCATAGCTGGGCTTCCACCGCCTGTACATCAGCTCAAACAAACCCAGTTAAGAGTTACATTTAAATGTTTTCTTGTTACTACCAAATTGGAATCACCCCCATCCCTTAATCAAAATTGAACTGTCCATCTGCCTGTTTCTGTAAAAGCTGCCACCCCTATCCCATCACTACAGCACCTCATTTAAGTCTGTCCTGGAACCTCAGGCTCAGAAGTTAAACCTATCCCTAGGTGAACTGAGACCACTTCTTACAGCCATCAACACAGAGTGACCTCAAAACCGAACACCATGCTGCACTTCGCTGGGCCACAACCTGACAAGGTGAGATAACAGCAAACAAAGGTCCAGACACCCACTCAACAAAGGTGATATCCGATATTTGTAGCAGGAAACACCACCACTAACGTAATTCCAGATACCTAGGTCCCATCACAGAAGCACAAACAACATGAATGACCAAGACATTCTGCCTCCTACAGAAATTAGCACCCTCATTGCGATGGTTCCTGAGAAAGGCAACCTAACTGAGCCACAAGACAATGATTTTGAAATAGCAATTACAAATGCATTCAAGAAACTCAGTGGGGATATAAATAAAAGACTGAAGACCATGAAACAAAGGGGAAATAGTTGAATGAAATAAGTAAAACAGGGGCCGGAGTGATAGCTCAGTGGTTAAGAGCATGGACTGCTCTTGCAGAGGACCCAAGTTCGATTCCCAGCACTCACATGGCGGCTATGAAGTGTCCTTTACTCGCCAGGCATGGTGGTACACGCCTTTAATCCCATCACTTGCGAGGCAGAGGCAGGCAGATTTCTGTGAGTTCAAGGCCAGCTTGGTCTACATAGTCAGTTCCAAGGTAGCTGGGGCTACAGGGAGACCCTGTCTCAAAAAGGCCAAAAAAGAGAGAAATAAGTAAAACAAGTAAAGATCTGAAGGTAGAATTCAATAAAATGATTCATTAAGCAAAACCAAACAAAATTTGAAATGTGAAGCTCAAGAATTCAGACAAAAAGCTCTGAGGAAAGCCTCACCAATAGAGTAGATCAAGTAGAAGAGAGAATATCAGATTTGAAGGTAAGGAAGAGGAAATGGATTACTCGCTCAAGAAAATGATAAATCTAAAATAATCCAAGAATGGAATAATCAGGGCCTCTGAGACATTATAAAAAGACCAAACCTATAATCACGGGTGTACCAGAAGGAGAAGAAACTCAGGTTAAAGGCACAGAAGATATCAACAAAATTAGAGAAGAAAACTTCTAAAATCTAAGAAAAGACATACTTATCATAGTGCAAGAAGTATACAGAACAGAACACTAAGCACACCAGCCCAGATAAGAAAATCCCCAGTTCATATAATGCTCAGAACGAGGAAAAGACATTGAAAGCTGGGAGAGGAGCATCAAGTCACATGTAAAGGTAAGCCCATTAGAATAGCAGCTGAAGTTGAGTGGAGACTATGAAAGCCAGAAGGACTTAGACCAAGCGGGATTGTAGCCCAGACTACTATATATAGCAAAACTGTCAGTTTTATTTGAAGGAGAAAGAAAAATTTGCCCTGATAGCAATAAAAAGATGAAACACAAATGTCTGAGAATTTTTTTACTGTTCTAGATTGAGCTTCTTTTTTTAATGTATGTTTTTGACTGGATTTTTGTGTATTTCATAGACTAGATCTTAATCATATTTAGACCCCCCCCACCTTCACTCCCCGATAGCCCACCCACAGGATTTCATGCATGCTGTCATATATTAAGGCTTATTGAGTCATTTGCATCCCCAGATGTCCCTCATTGTGAGTTCATCCATTGGAAACTGGTCAGCCTATCTAGTGTCACTCCTTTAAAGAAGATCAACTTTCTCTCACCCATTAATGATCAGCTGCCAATACGTCCTCCCCTAAGGTTGGGGCATCCTGCCCATTTCCCCATTTCTATGCTGGTTTTTGTCTCATTGAGTTTGCATGGATCTTGTGCATGCTGTCACCATTGCTATAAGTTTATATGAGCAAGTTCCCAGAAGCCTGGAAGACTTTGTTTCCTTATGGTCATGTACCATCCTGGCCCTTGAAATCTTTCTGACCCATCTTCTGCAGTGGTCCCTTGAGCCCTGGGTGAGTAAGGTTTAACAGGATTCCTGTCCAGGGACACATTCTCTGTAGGCTCTTATTCTGTGCATTTTGGCCAGTTGTGGCCTTCTGTGTTATCTCTGTTGCATGAAGACGCTTCACTGGTGAGAGCTGAGAGATGCATTAATATTCTTGCTACCCCCTGTTCCACTGTGTTCGTGAGCCTTAGGTGTAGAGGTTTCATTATAGATGTGTCACTTAGGGCTGGGCATCTCATAGACACTTATTCTCTTTGTGTAACCAGTTGTGGAACTCTGTAATAGTCTGCATTTGTTATAAAAAGAAGCTTCTTTGATGAGTGGTGACTAGTATACTTGTTTGTAAATATAAGGATGCATATTTAACGTCCAGTAAGGAATTGTTTGTCTAGGGATGTGATCAACATTATGGTTTTCTCTATGCTCTTTGATCTCTCCAGCTATGTGTATTTGGCTATATTTACAGTGCGCAGATGAGTTCCCTCCCATTGAGCAGGCTTTAAGTCCAATTAGATAACTGCTGATTACCTCCAAGATAAAAGTGCCATTACTGCACCAGTGTAGTTTGCTGTGCTGGTAGTCATTGTGGTTATTGGGCTTTAAAGCCTGAGCTGAACCATGCATCGATTTTCTCTCTTAGCAGCTTGCTTAGTGTCCTCCAAAACTATGAGAGCTAGCCTTCAGGGAGGCTTCCAGATCAATTTCAGCTCCATTGCTCCAACTCCTGTGTTCGAAATATGTCCTGTCTTCAGCAGTAGGGTGTTACCTTCACATTCTGAGAGGTAATCAAGGGCTCTGGCAATAGCCTGTGTTATTTTGGGACTCTCTTGGGCTACCCTGACAACAACTCAAAGGGAGGTTTCTCCTGTCTGGCACTGTTTTCTTTTTTGGATTTCTTTCTTTTCCTTTCTCTTTCTTTTTCTTTTCTCTTTTTTCTTTTCTCTTCTTTTCTTTTCTTTTTTCTTTCCCTTCCCTGTCCCTGTCCCTACCCTGTGTATTGCCTGCATGTTTGTAAGTACACCCATGTCCTGCAGTGCCCACAGAGGTCAGAAGAGGGCATCAGATCCCCTGGAACTGGAGGTACAAACAGTTGTTAGCCACCATGCAGGTGCTGGGATTCAAAGCTGGTCTTCTGCAAGAACAACCAGTGCTGTTAGCTGCTGAGCCGTCTCTCCAACCCTGACACTGTGTTTCTTAGTACACAGCCTTCAGCTGTACACTTGCACTCACGTATAGATAGTGCACGTGTATTTTTCGGTAGGCTTTTGAACTAATACATTTCCCTCTAGTTTTTCATACCACTCAGCACTATTTATCTCTCATCTCTCTCCTCCATCTAACAATCTCTCCTCCCTCCCCAGTTAAAGTGCCTCCATTTTTCCCTTGATAATACCTGTCTCCTATATCCCCCCTGCCTCTTGAGCTCTTTCTTCTACTTTACCCATATGGTTCTTTGTATGTCCTTTTTTCTTCCCTTCCCAGTTCCATACTCCCCTTTCCCCAATGTCCCCCTTGCTAGCATCTGTCTCCTGTTATCCCATTTGTCTTGGACTCTTTCTTTCCATTTTCCTGACTCCTGCTGTTACATCAGGACATATATTTACATAAAAGGATTCGGTGCTAAGATCCATAAATGAGATAAAACATATATTACTTGCTTTTTCTGAGTCTGTGTAACTTACTTAGTATAACAGT